ACGAGGATGAGGACGAGGACGACGAGGAGGTGGACTAGAGGCATGATGAGCTTGGCCCGTCTTAGCTCCAGGACGCTCCCTCGACTCAGCCTACACAGCCTTCAGGCACTAGGCGATACCGTCCACCTGACCCTTACACTCCAGGCACCGACGCTCTTGGTCATAAGGGTAACGGTAAGACTAGGAGGCAGTGAGGGTTTGTGGTAGACGTTATTATGTACTATTATGGACTTTCATTATAAACTATTGTGGACTGTATGGACTATGTTTATCGAATATGAACTACTATAGACTATAATTATGGACTATGTGGACTATTAATATGCTCATGTATATGGTTTCAGATGAATATGGCATATATTTGTATGTTTGAACATGTTGTATTGAGATTAAATATTCATCTCATATTTGTGTATGGATTGCATCAAAAAATAGGGGAAATTTTGCCGAAATTTTTTGCCTAAAGTATGTATTAATCAGCGACATCAGTTTTACCGGTTCAAAATAGTTATTGAAGTCTAAAATCGAATAGGCTTTTCAGTCATGAAATCTAGGGGAAATAGCCTTTACAGTGATTTGTCATGTCATCGTCGAATAGACTTTTCAGTGTCCTTCGAAATAGTGATTGAAGTCTAAAATCGAATAGGCTTTTCAGTCATGGAATCTAAGGAAAATAGCCTTTACAGTGATTTGTCATGTCACCATCGAATGGACTTTTCAGTGTCCTTCGAAATAGTGATTGAAGTCTGAAATCGAATAGGCTTTTCAGTCATGGAATCTAGGCTCTCCAGTGTCCTACGATGTAGGCTTTTTAGTGATTCTGAGTAGACTTTCTAGGAGCATTTACAGCACAATACAACGGCTAGCAAATCTGCCTCCGCCTATATATATGCGTTCTAGGATGCATTGCTAACCAAAAGAAAAACCAAACTAGTATTCGGTTTCATTGAAGTAGAAATGTCTGGAGGGTCATCTAGAGGAAAGGGTTTTGGGAGTGGGAGAGGAAAAGGAGGGACGAAGGGAACTCCCATTGTGTGGGAGGGGTCTCTTGGGCCTGATTTCTTTGAGGAATCAGTGTATCAGTTTCTCCCCGAGAGCAAGAGTGATTTCACTAAAGAGTGCCCTCTCAAAGGATACGATAACAGAAAGGAAGAGTGGCCAAAATGCACGTATGGTGAGGACTGCTTAGTACAGATGTTCACCGAGAGGATTGACGAAGGTCATTGCTTCTTTAAATGCCCGCGAGCATGGGTAATTGCTATTACATTTCGTTTGTTAAATATATTTCTCGAATACCCTTACAACTCACAGGACATACTTATTGTAGTCTCCAAAGAAAACTATGGGTTCACTAGGTGGATCGATCCTCGACCAATTTATCTGCATCAGCAGTACATCTACTACCTGTAAGACCAAATCTTCGATCTACAAAGGAAAGTTAGCAGCGGGTATAAGGAAGACGAAGACGACGACAACAACAATGGTGCAACTTCATAGGAGGCACTCTGTAATGATCCATATTGCACCTGCCCTAATCACAAGAACAAGGGGCCTCTGCCGTCACCCCCGCCACCACCACTAACAACAATGGGAGGCTACTGTAGAGAATGTGCAACACAATTTGCTATGTGACCATACTATTAGGACGACCCTATCTTATTCACATGGCACACCCATGTGTTTGTTGTTTGGTTTAATTACCTAAGCCATGTTAGGTTTAGTCGAAGGAACTATGTACCCTTATTTGGTACATGTTCTCACATGTCATTTCGTGTGCTTGTTGTTCGCTTCAATTACCTAAGGCATGTTAGGTTTAGTTCAGGACCTCTGTACCCTAGTTCGGTACATGTTCTCACATGTCATTTCATGTGTTGTGTGTGTTGAATTATATAATGCTCTACTTCGTTAGGTTTTGTTTGCAGCACGTGATTACATTTCACTATATCCGCAATATTAAGTTGAATATTATGACCACAAATAATAAAAACACCTACATAATGAGAAGTCAAATAATATGACACATTAAACAACACAGTAATAGTAGAAGTACGTGCCGACAAACTAAATAACGTAGTACATGACTTGAGCATGCCCATACTTAAAGTGCATTATATGACAACATAATGAAAAGTCCAACAGTAGACAACATTGTTCATGAATAAACTATAGAACTAGCAAGTTATGGAGACTACTGAGTGCAACGAGGCCACTTTTTCTTTCTCAGGGCATCGAGATTCTCCTACATCGCTGCTTTCGCTCGGCGTGCACGCTCAAGCTTCTTCTCCCTCTCCTCCCTGTACGCAGCAACACGCCTCCTTTCCTCCTCTTTCTTGTACTCCTTTTTTGTAGCCTCCTCTCCGCGTCTCTTCTCCATCATCTCCTTGTCCTCTGCCTTCCACCGCAATAGTTTTTGTATCCATTCCTTGTCTTCAGGCTTGATCTCAGTGTCGATCCACTGGTCAAAATCACAGAGCGATGGAGGGGTCTACAACAAATGCAATTGTTATAAAACAAAAAAAATCATGCAAGATTTCATATGACACAAAATAATTATTACACAACATCAATTTCTTACCTCTTGTTAATGTGGCGCTGACGAAGTGTAGACTCAAACGTAAAATCGGAACACATCTAATACATCTGCCTATACGTGTCCTCTTCATCGGACTTGGCTACCTTGCAAGGATCGCCGCAAAAGCAAATGGACACGGGAGCACCACTAGACAGAGGCAATGGGTCGAAGACATTTCCGATCATCCGGCCATAACTATAATTTAGCTATTTTGGTTCTAAGAATCGAAAGCAATTAACATTAAACCCTACACCTAGGGGTTTCTATTTGATCCACAACAATGAATCCATAACATAACAACGTGCACTGAGGTTACCTTAGTTTGCTAGCTTTTTCACATCTTGACATCCTACGTTTGTATAATATAAATATTAAAATTCAATGAAACCCTAAGTAATGATGATTCTTAAGTTGAAAAATTAGACTAATATATACCGAATCGATATGAAAAAAAAATTAGGAGGGAGCGAGGATACCTTGCTCTCGAAGATCTACGGATCAAATCAAAGTTTCCAATGTCCTAAATACCGATTCGTGAGGTAGGTTAAAGTGGGGAGAGAAAAAACCCGAGAGGGAGGAGAAAGAAGAGGAAAAAGGCTAGGGCAGCAAGGTTGGGTGCCGGGTTAAAACACCACCTGAGCGCCAGGATCTTTGGCGCCAAGCCCGGCGCCAAGATCTAATGCGCCGAGCTGGCTGCCATGTCAGCGTCCACGCCGCCAACGTGGCCCCGACCTAGGCGCCAAACCCTATGACGCCGAGATGTGTAACCAACAATGACGCCGAGCTAAGGGTCCAGATTTTGAAAGGATAACTCAGGGATATATTTATGAAAAACTTTAAAAAAAAGGCCAAAAAAAAATAAAAAAATTTCGACCACCTCCGCGCTCGTTTTTTTTTTCTTCGGACGCGCTCTCGTACGTACGACGATGGTTTCCGTCGTTTCGCCCAGCGAAGGTGTACGACCATGGTTTCCGTTTCCGTCGTTTCTTTTTCCTTTTTTTCTGCTATTTCTTTTTTCCTCTTTCTTTTTCTTTCCTTTCTACTATTTCTTTTTCCTTTTTCTTTTCTTTTTTTATGTTTTGTTGTGTTCTATTATTCTTGTCATCTTTTATTCTTTTTTATTTTTCTTTCTCTCCATCTTTTATTCCTTTTTATTTTTTTTCTTTTTCTTCTATTTCTTTTTTGTTTCCTTTCATTTTTCATTTTTTGGTCTTTTATTATTATTTTTGTTTTCTTTTTCTATTTTCATTTTTATTGTATGTTTTCTTTTCTCTTTTTCTTTGCTTTCATTCATTCATATATTTTTCTTTTCTTTTTTCAATTTATAATTTTATGTTTCACTTTTCTTTATTTACAGATACACGCGATGTTCATGCAGTATACGTGTAATGTTCTATGATGTATTTTTTAATGTCCACGAGTAGAAATATGATGTTCTACGATGTATTTTGTGATATTCGGTAAGAATACATTGAATGTTCTAGGACATTTTTTGTAATGTTCGGTAGTATTTTCTTCTTTTTATTTGACTTATAATGCAGTATACGTGTAATGCAGTATACTAATTTTGTTATTTTATTTTTATATTTTCATGATATTTGTGATGTTCACGTAGTATATATATGATGTTCTATCTATATGTAGCGATGTTCGTGTAGTCTTAATATGATGTTCTACGATGTATTTGTGATATGATGTTCGCGTAGTATACATATAATGTTCTATGCTATATTTAGCGATGTTCGTGTAGTCTTAATATGATGTTCTACGATGTATTTATGATGTTCGCGCAGTATACATATGATGTTCTATGCAATATTTTGCGATGTTCATGTCGTCTTTATTTTTTTTTATATTTCATGATATATATGATGTTCGTGTAGTATACATATGATGTTCTATGCTATTTTCTGCGATGTTCATGTAGTGTTAATGTGATGTTCTAATATTTTCATCTAATATAGGTTTATCACGAGATAAATGTTCGTTAAAAAATTTTATCGAACTATATCCATGTGGGGTCTTGTTTTAAAGAGTTTATCGTAAGGAACACGATGGTACAATCGTATTTTAATTAGGATAGTTGGTTTAGGAGATATGACTTTTTTTAAACTTTAAAAAGTATGGGTTATGTGCTGATGTCAGCAATTTCGGCTTTTAATGTATGTCTAGTCTGCTGTTTGACCCAAAAATACAATTGAATTAGGCCCAATTTGGTGGATAGGTGGGGGAGGAAATCATTTTATGGTCTACTGTATGGTCTGCCGTCGATTGTTAATTGTTTCCACCAAGGCAGGCCGGCGCAAGCTACATGAGAGCAGTGGTGCAGGGCCAGCTCGCGCGTCCAGGCAACCAATCAGGTTCTGCGATGCTGGCTGAGGCGTGCGAAACCAAACACGCACTAAACTCCTCGGCTTCATGCTGGGGCTCACGCACCCGCGGCATGACTGCATGAGCCCGCAGCAGCTTGCTGCGTCATGCAGACTGCCGCGTAATCCCCTCCAAAAACAGGACAGGCCGTCACAAGTTGTCCCGTTTGCAACGCTGGTGAGGCCATCATGGTGGAGCCTTGCCTAAGCAACAGAAACGGGGCCGAGGCCATGACCCGTGCAAAAAATCTCATTCCTAATTGTTTCACTGCACGCGACACATGTAAACGTTAAGTCATCTGGTAAGATCTCTAATGTCAAACTCTTTACACCGATTTCACACAGTAAATACAAGGCTCCTTCAAATGTAGATAACATCTACTGTACATAAGGCAAAAGAAATACCACATCTAAGTCCAAATCCAAGCATGTCAGGTCATGCTCCAGCTACGCTACTTTGGGTTATCAGCCATGTGTGCCATCAATTCAGTACCACTCAAGACAAAGCGGGGCAATCTACAGAGAAATCCAACAAATTAGGTTTGAACACTAAAAATAACCAGGGATAGGTGTATCGTCATCCCACAATTCCTTGAATTCACTCATGAAGTCCATCTCTGCTGACTCCTCCAGCATCTTTTCTTGCATAGCCTGTCATACAAGCAGCCAAAAACGGTAATCAGTGTTTCAGTACGGTATTCACCTCTCATTTGGATTAGAAGTCAACAGGAAGGAAAATAGTTCATGGTCAAATATAGTTAACAATTTCCAAGAATAAACCAGGGTACTGATCTGAGACCTGAGACTCCTGCATTTTTGACACGACAGTCAAAATCCTCTGGTACTGATCTCTTGCTTCCGGGTATTGAGACATGGACTTCACTCTCGCAAGAGCTTTCTGGAGCCGTTCTTCAGTCTGTTTTCGTCCTTCTTGCAGAAAATCGTATTCATCCCCAGAAGGCTTATCTTGGATTGAACTGCTACTTGTTCCGCCACTACTGCTCTCAACTGAACCTTCTGTAGACCGAAACCCACGTAACCCAGCCCCTCTACGCCTCCAACGCAATATAATTTTCTCCACGATCCCAACAGACCAAACTATTTTCCGATAATGCTTCCTCACTTGGTGACCTCGCACATGAGCCTATGAGCCATCAAACGAAAAAAAAAAGTTAAAAAAAGCTCAGTCAAAGGATGACCTACAGCCTAGCAGACAATTAAAAATATTGCGCACCATTCTCAAATAGGACAAAGACACAAAGTGCACACTACAATACAGATAAATACACAGTGCAGTAATAAAGCATACTAAAGTAAACACTATCCCACTATGTTGCCATACTGACAATTAGCCACTAATAACCAAAAAGTAAGTTGAGTTAGCAGGTAGGCACCTTTGAATTAGGAAATTTACATCAGTACTAAGTGGCAAACAGACAACAAAGTTCCAAGTCTTTCGAACAAATGAGTGACAAACAGAAGCAATTTTCCATTTTAAGGATCCTGATATTTGACGATATTGCACATTATTCTCAAATAGCACAACTGCACAAGACACGCACTACATTTACATACCTGGATCTTCACAATTCGCTGCCTAATAAGAAGAAATTCCTTTCTCCCCTTCCATCCTCTGAACTTATTCTGTATGCGAGTTGCAGCAGAATGCAGAGGATCAAGCTGCCCTGACTTTGGTGGCTTGACAGAAAGGAGTGACAGGGCACGCTCATCAGACATTCCACCTTTATCATCCTCATATTGAGCCGCTTGCTTTCTCTGGAAGGATTGCACCCTGAAAACTTGATATATCCGTGCAGCAGCTTGAGCAGCATTTCGAACAGGACCTAATGAATCTCCGCTTGGAGGCAGCAGTGAATCTCTCTCAGTAACATCTCCAATACCAGGTAGACCAGATATTTGAGCCATATTAGCTTCCTTCAGATTGAGGGCCTGAAGATGACTGGTCAGAGAAGATTCTGCCAAGAAACCAGATATTCCCTTTTGACCATTAGCTGATGCAAGATCTGCTGGTGTACTTCCAGGGAAATCAGGAGTTGGGTCTGTCAAAGCTCCAGGAGCTGCTCCCAGAGCAATAAGCGCAACTACAGTCCGCTCTCTGCATCACAAGTTAAATCATTCCCAAATGATCAATATATGAAGCAGAAAGAAAAATGTATAACATATCACCTATTAACTTACCGGCCACAAAAGGCAGCCCAATGGAGTGCAGTCCACCCATGAACATCTCTGAAATTAATATTCACACCAGCAGCAAGTGTCGGCCTTATAGCCCAATCATATCCAAGGGCAGCTGCTAAGTGAAGCACGCCCTGCCCTTCATCATCTAACACACTGGGTCCCTTGCCACCCATACCAACTTTATTTAGAAGCCAGACATGCAATTTTTCCTTAATCAAGTTTTCAGCAAACTGATCCTGCTGATCAGCAGTAGAAGGCTCATTATCAACAGCCAACTTTAGCAAGTTGGACCACTCATCATTGCTCGCCATCAGTGAACTTATCTTCTTGCTTAAGTCAATCATCTCCAGGCTGGGGTTAGATACGGTTGCCTGGTACTCATCCGGTCCAAGGGACAACAACTTGTCAAGGCGTATCTGGAAATAAACTTTGTTTGTTTCACCATGTGGACTAGGAGCATCCACGTATGGGGAGACAGTTGGTCGAAATTCAAACTCCCGCACTTCACTGCAGGCCAACCTGTTGGAGCAGGTAATATAAAAAGGTACTCGACCAGGTTTATGCTGGGGTGAATAACAGATGAGAGTACCATCTGCTAAAATCTTTGCTGGAACTTCAACTTCTCCAAACATACATGACCACTTGCATCTCTCGGTGATTTGACTGTCATTCAGGATGTTACCAGCAACTAAAATCTGTATAGCATGCAACATTTTGTGAGAATATGTGCAAAAATAGTTAAAGTAGAAACATCAGGACAGAGTCTTATCAAATGCGTTGCTTTGAAGCTTAGAGAAAAAAAAATATGAATGAACTTTTCACACTTACTGACCTTAGTCTTTGAACCCACATATGTCCAGTTTGGAGCAAAATCGACTATACTAAAGAGCTGGTCCTGCGAGAGCATCGGGGAAACAGTAAACTGATCCAGTGGCTCACGGCTTGATGCTTCGATGATATTATTTGCTTCTTCAGTGCTCCAGAACCCCCCAGAACTAGAGTGAATTTGAGAATCTTCCACTTCAGGAAGCTCTTTGCTCATCCATCTTGTAAAACTGTCAGTTTTCTTAAAGCTGTCTTTTAGGATATCGGATAGATTAGATGACTGAGTCTTCAAAAATGGATAGCCAATGGCTGCCTCCAGAGAACCATCATTTTGTTGTGGGAAGCTGTTCTCTGATGCAGACAAATCACCAGTAGCACTAGAGAACTGAAATGCAAAAACTTCAGTTAAATGTCTATAAAAAACTAGGAACTGAGAGAGAATAGTTAAGTACAGTATTGCTTCTTATGCATGCTAATTCTCACTGTTCTTTATTGAACAAAGGAAAAAAAATCTTTCTGTTAAGTACCACTTAACGAAGCAACTTAATGCCATAATAATTATACAGATACAGATTCCAATGACAATTAGCATAAAAACAGATAAAAATGTATGAATTAAAATTTATAATGGCTATGGCTTTATAAAAATTGGGTATAACTAATCGAAGCCAACAATGCACTAGTTATAGCTGGTAGAGTGGATGTACAGTGCACAGTTAAAGTCCATCTTTAACCATAAATGGAGAGTTTAAAAGATAGAAATCACAAAAGTATTTTGTACATGCACAGACATATACAGTTGAATTCTCAAATCATGGATGATGGCAGGTTTTTTTTTTCATTTCCATATTGGTGAAGGGGGCAAACAATAAATATATCAGCTATAATATAAAATTGGAAACACATTTATATATTTTCCTAATATGAGCTTGTGACTAAGGATATCCTATCCCAGTAGACTACCATGGTTTATCGAATCATAGATACTAAGAACTTCATAAGTATCAATGTACGGAATGATAGACCAACAAACCTGCAAATATGACTCTCCATGAGTTCCTGCGGCACCAATATCTTTGAGACTGAGGACATCAGAATATACTTCATCAAATGTTAAGTAATCAACTCCCAGGCCTTCCGTGGTAGCACCTTGATCAGGAGGAACAGGAAACTGGAGATGAGGCATTTGAACAGGCTCATGATCCAGTTCTATCACAGAATTCCACGATGGAAGATCAGTTTGATTTGCACGGCCATTCATTCCAAGCATGGCACTTGATCCATTAAGAATGAGAGGAGAATTATGTTGGTTAACAGGATAGAAGCTTATATTTTGTGTGGCATGCAGCCCCTGGTAATTACCTGCAGTTTTGTGGCAACCAAAGGGATTACAATCACTACAATAAGGTTCAAAGAATATAAAAGCAAGTTCTAGTGGTGATTACCTATGGACGGATCAGGTGTGTAAGAGCTGAAGACAGAAGAATCTATCGCGGGTCCAGTTCCATTTTCATGCTGCTGCATCGAAGTGAAAGAGTCGTATCCGGCTCCTCCTGAATAAATATCTGCTGCACCGAATTTTGCTTTAGATATTCTGTGCATAATTGGAATATGTATCAGTGAAACTATTTTAGCCGCATGGTACTTTATTTGCCATTACATAAGACCAAAAGCCAAAACTTCCTACCTGATTCTGCCTCTTCATATTCTGAGGCCTGTCCACTAAGTGAGCTCTCTCCCTCCATAGTCTGTGAAGGTAATTGACTTACAGGACTATCCACAGCAGCTTCTTGAATAATGGTGTTATTTCCTCTAGCACGAGACGACTTGCCACCCTGAAAGTGATTCACATCATCAGAAGGAAAAAAAAGGGATTGTATGCAACTTCTTGCAAGAGCAAAATAGGTGATGCAAAACTTCTATTCCAACAGAACCTGCTACAATCCTTTTTCTTCAACGTTTAAAACAAGAAACAGGACTTAAACCGAACTTGAGAATATATATGAAAGCAAACCAGTGCTGAAATAAAACCTGTATCAACTTATGTTTCACTATCAAGTTAAACTAGCTTATAACATTGACCTCCATGGAATTGCTAGAAACATAGTGGATTCTTGTTTATCAAGTTATAAGAGTTGAACAGTTTGTATAGTGCCACTATCTGCAACAGACTCATCATATTTTGAAAACCAGCACTGACTTCTTTTTCTAAATTGCCACTTTAAAAAAGGTCAAGAATATTTAATTGGTGTGGCTCAAAGCCTTAAGCGTTTATTCTCTGGGATGCAAAAACAGTACAAATGAGCTAGCAAATTGCAATGCAGTAAAACAGAGATTTCACAAAGCCAAAACCTATAACATCCATTATCCATGTGACAATAATGAACAAAAGACATTGATTTTGTGAGTTATGTGTGTAAATATGTTTGGCAAGAAGCAAACCCATATAGTTCAGTTAGTATTTGATCACTCTGTTCATCAGAACTATGAAGACTCTGTTCATCAGAACTAATAAATTTACAAGACCCATAGGATCTTCTAATATAGACTTCAAGAGATCTTTTAAAATATGGTACATTTTTACGTGTATATTTGCTCATGTAGCTAACAGTGTAAAAGTAAAGAACGGTGCTTTTGTCATTTAGCAGCGCAACAGGAAAAAAAGAACATGTGTCAAAAATATGCTAGCAAGGCACTTCACTCTACATACTAGGCAATGAAATAAAAGTCTTCGCAGAAAGAGAGCCATGCTAAGTACAACTAAAAAGGGTGCACTAATCAGTGTTACCTTTGTCTCAAGATAATGCACAAGTACAATGTGCATATAGTCCCTGCAAAGTAAAACAGAAAGGTTGCTCAGATTTGGGTTCAATTTCGTCAACATAAACGCCTATAATAACACATTTGAACTTGGTGTGCACATGACAGAGATTGGCATTTATATTCACACAACAGGGACTCTGTGGCATAGCAATCAACTTACTCTTCCAACATCCAGTAAGTCCTCCTTTGGAAGTTTATATTCTCTTCCCCATGGGCATAGTAACAGTGAAGCACATCAATACTTCCAGACTGCCATTATGAACAATATTCAGTTTTATTCTCAGGTTGCCAATGAAAAATAATAGTTGACCAGCATTGAAATGGATCATTAGAGAGAAGATATTGATAACCAAAATTACTTACCTTCAATCGTTCATGGGCTTCCTTAACAGTCTTCTGATCATTTTTCTTCCTCCAATTATGACCATCCTTCCTGAAGTATCTCAATACTTTCCGATCAAATAAAAAAAGTGAGCCACCTAGGCATGCCATAAAAAATGTTAGTGATCATGATCAACACTAAGTTGCACATTATAGTGATACCATTGCAGCTCTCTATCAACTTTATGATAATTTGGTTGGAATATTATTGAACAGCCACATATATGGATGTATACACAGGACTTAAGAGAAGTTCAAGTATTTTGACAAGGTCAAAAGGGATGTCAAATTTTCTGACACAAGAATTGTTCAGTGCCAGAAACCTGCAAGCGGCAAAGGTTTACCCTAGAAATCATTGCGACCCTAGTTTAACAAATCACATGTTAAGCACCTTTAAAGCACATAACAAGACTTCATAAACACAGACTCACTCCATAAAACGGGCAATAACAAACTAGAAACACTGAAAAGTTAGGTAGATCTCAGAAGGTAGAAGTATTGAATTGCTTAGGGAAATCTAAAATTCTAAATAAATTTGATGCAATCTGAATTGAGGCAGTAACAGAGCTATGGGCTATCATCAGCTGGGCTTCAGAACACTTGGTAATTACCAAACTAATTACTTTTATGCTAAAACACCCATAAGCTGCATCAATATTCGGCGTAGAAGACGGATGTCATACTTGGTGGTCTGTTTGGTGGTTCTGGAGCAATACGGAAGTTCCTGTAGTTTTTCAGTATTTCACATATTTCAGCAGGGCGTAACCATCGGTGTTGAGCTTCCTTCAATATCTGCTCGATATCTGTTCATATATCATGAAATGAAGTCAAGATAAGGCTGTGACCAACAGTCTTCCATATGTACAAACATCCATAAAATGTGAAATGCAATTGTTTTAGAACAGAGCGGTAAACCATTTTTTGTGATTGACTTGGTGAAGTTCCAACGGGGCATGAACCTCCATCAAGGTTATAACCATGTTCAAATCACAACACAAAATTTCACAAAACAGATGTCATGGTTGGAATTGCTGAACATCACATGTTTATAGCCCATTCAGGTAAAGTTTGCAATACCTTTGGCCACAAAACACGGTGGTAAGTACCACGAACTAACTAGAGTTTTGTAGAACCTTATGACTACAACTTGAATGAACACCCATTTTCTGCTGACTTCGGACACGCTCAACATAAGGCAGGAACAGAAGATTTGACAGAAAGGGATCTCCACTTTGGACAAACAGAAGGTTACTGTAACCCCACCTTGACCCTAACAAAAACCAAATTTTAAGGTAACCCACACATAAGCTCTCAACTTGACACATGCCAAATTCGTCGTCCACAAAGCATAAATAAGATTAGCAAAATGCAAAGGTGAACCTGTTTGGCTCTTTCAGATCAAAAGAGGCACTGTTACTGGAAACGATGAACAAAAATGGCTATCATGGCCATGGCATCCAAATTCCAAACAGTGCAATGCAAACAGCAGCCCAAAACTGCCATACTGCATGATTCAGTTGGACAGACCCTCATAACATAACCAGCCCAGACCTTGCTAAATTCTCCAGAAGGTCAGAGCATGGATGCTGTCAAAAGCAAATAGCAAGCAATTTTTCCTCATCCCTGTACTGTCAGAGGGCCAGAGCTCCTAAAACCGGGAAAATCCAACTAGAGAGCGCATAGATAAGACCCTCCCTACTCCCTAACTCCCGGCCATAGTGCACCAAAACTACCAAACACATGCTTAACCCCAAAATTTCCATGGCCTCGGATCTCCGCGTACCTATCTGCAAGTATTTGACAAATAATGCACTGCTTGCAGTGATTCCCTACGAGAAGCACAGAAACCCTGAACGAGGAAGGCCTCACAAAGACCCTCCCGCCCCGCAGCGATCGCAGGGCCGACATGCCGAGGCCTCCGTGCCGGCACCAGCACAAAGTACCAAACACCCAAAGTCCCGACGCCAACACAAAGCATCAAACACCCTCAGTCCCGATAGGTTCCGAGGAAAGCCCAGACCCGCACCCGCGACGCGGAGAGATGCTTCCGCCTCGGCGACATCCGCATCTCCCGGCTGCCCGGTTGACCACGACCGGAGCGTTGACCGAAGCACTCAGATCAGATCGAAGCACCCCCACCTCAGGAATCAGGAGCATACAAAGCGCACGGGATCACGGGGGAGGGGAAGCGGACGGGCGGGACGGCTCACCTAGCTGCGGCACGACCGCGAGGCGGCGCGCCTCCGCCGAGGCCATCGATCGGGCTCACAAGCGGCGGCCGCGCACCATGCAACCCGCTGGACCGGGCCGGGGGACGGGAGGCCGTGCTCGCCTGGGGATCCGAGCGGCGCGGGGTGGGGGGGTGGAAAGGAAAGGGTGATTTCTGCAGGATTCGGGGAGTTGGGGAAAGTGAAACGGAGAACTTTTCCTCGTTCGCTCTGCCGCGGGGGTTTAGCTCAGAGCTTAGCCGCGCGAGTGGTTGGAGGCCTGGAACTGGACTTGGAAGGGGAGGGAGGGACTGGTGCAGGTGGCGGCAGCCGGCAGGGAAAGTATTAGGGCGAGGGAATGACCGTTTTGCCCCCTGGATTAAGGAATCTTCGTTCTTGCTTCCTGGTACAGTACAGGCAGCAGCGGGTACTTGTGCTTGCCTGCTTGGGCCAGTTTGGATGCCAAAATTTTTGGCAAAACGTTATTGTAGCGCTTTCATTGTTATTTGATAATTAGTGTTCAATTATAGTCTAATTAGACTTAAAAGATTCGTCTCGTGGATTTTGTCTAAACTGTGTAATTAGTTTTATTTTTTATTTATATTTAATGCTTCATGCATGCGTCAAAGATTTAATGTGACGAAGAATCTTGAAAAATTTAGCATTTTGAGGTCCAACTGGGCCTTGGAAGCTTCTCTCGTGCTTGACCACTTTGACCAGCTGGTGTAGCCAAGGTCTCCACCCACAACCGCCCTTGCAACAAGGCATTTAGGGTGACTATACTATCGACAAAATCATAGGAAGGGTCATGGCTGATTCTAGTACAGATGCATTTTGGAAGCAAAATCACGCGAATTCCACCTAGAACTCAGGTGCTATTTGGATTTATTATATATAGAAAAATTAAGACTATAAATAGGGCTGTGATTCGGTCTTATTCGGTGTTCAGAAAACTCAGGTTTCAAAAAGTAAAGACCAAAATTCTCTTGGCCCCTTTTAGATCCTTGAAAGTGAATTCGTTTTAATAATTATAATTTAGACATATATTAATTAAGCTAATATAGTTGTATATAGATTATATTTATATATTATTGTTGGCTATACGAGAGAGATACTTATGTGTTGTATTTCTACCGTAGAAGACTGAGTTAAAAAACGTGTTATAAGTTCCAAAGTAAAAACATAGAATGGTAATCTCTAGATTCAATTTCCATCTCTCACCCTATAAATTTGAGATAGTTTTATATGTGAACTTTGAAAAGTAATGGAATGTCAAATTTCAAGCTAAATAGCCTAATTTATTAAGTGGATTTTAATTCCTCCAAACGAAAAGATCCAAATGACCCAATAAATAGATAATAAAATAAACAAAGACCGAACTCTAATACATCGAAAATTTCAGTCCGTGCATTTGGGCACCCGCAACATGAAGTATGACAAGCCGACTCCAAATACATCTCATCCCATGTTTATGTTAGATAATAGGAAAGAGAAACGAGAGTTTCTTTTTCACCAGTTCTATATCTATATTTATCTCTATAATATATAACCTTATATTTATATTTGTATCTATATCTAATATTACTAGCAAACATACTCTTGCGTTGCAATGAAAGAAAAAAGGACTATCAAACATGATGAAAAATGGCAATAGAAATAGTAAGTATCTATTTATGTTTTACATAATATTATATAGGCTTCATAGATTTTTTTTCTCCATTTGCAAAACACAAAAAATATTTAGAGATAAATATATCATAACTTTACTTTTCATACTATTCATTGTTGGTACAATTGAATATGGAGTTCCCTGACTTTCTTTAATGACCAAAAGAATATGTAATTCTAATAACTGATTAAAGTCAGTAAGCAAATGATGTTTCAAGAATGGGTCCCACAGATGGTTATGGAAGGAGACCTCTCAATTTTTCACATACGAACTCTTGTTGGGAACTACAAAGATACATTTATTTATACTGCATTAGATAATAAAGTGCTCAAGATTTCATTTTACATTATGATTACTTGGACCATCTGTGCTCCAGATTTTAAAATAATAAAATTGTTGTGATCAAAACTATCGAGAATTTAGTAATGGAAATCTTCGTTTCTTTGAGAAAGATCAATAGTTCAAAAGGCCATAGTGTTATATTTATTATTTGTTTTAACTTTTATGGAAAACACAAGTGTACGAACAGAAAGAAGGGGAAAAAAGAAAAAATAGAAACGGACAGATGGGGAAAAGAAAAAGATACAAAAATTTATATCAGACTTTAATACATTAATAAGCAAGTTAAGGCCTTTACTTATATGGTATCGAAACCTATATGTGCAGGTCTAAATAACTTGTGATCCTAACATTTACAACTAAACTGAGCTAGGTTGGTTGCCTGAAAATGAGCTAGGACTTGACTAGAGCTGGCCATCAATACCCCTTTAGCCTGGCCAGGATTGAACGCCCATATCGATCGTTCTTCTGGAGCCAGGCCCAAGCCATCCCACGTGCTCGTTACTTTCACCTCCCCCGCCGGTTGCTCCTCCTCCTCCTCCTCCCTCGCCGGTTGCTTTCCTCCTCCCCGTCGTTCTCCTGGCCATCTGTTCCTCACCCCCACCTAGCCTTGCGGAGCTCCTCACCCCACGGGGCGCCGCCACTTCGCCTTCTCATCCGCCTAGAGACGCCGCCGAGGGCGCGTACACCATCTCCGGCTACCTGCTCCCCTCTGCCCGTGCCCGCGAATGATGGTCACCGGCCCCGGCGTCCGTGCCCAAGCTCGAGCCCAAGCGTCCTCGGTGTCCGTGCTTGACTAGTGAGGAAGAAGGCACGGTGGCAGGGCGTCTGCGCTCAACCACGTCCGAGCGTCTCCGGTGTCCGAGCGTCCCCAGCGTCCGCGCTCGGTGTCCACTTTTGACCGAGCCCAAGCTCCCCGGCTAGGGCGGCTACCAGCTCCTTGGCGTCCGCTGGTGACCGAGCCCGAGCTCCTCGGCGTCCGCGACCACCATCCTCTGGAGCTCCTCTGTGACTTCAGTGTAATCCTTGCTGCCATGAGTATCAACCAAATAGCAATTGCGCTTAATCGATTTTTTTATTTGAATTGGTTCTCTCGATGGTTCGTTTGCTCTGATTCCTTGCTTGCTTGGTTGGTGGCCGTCGCGCCACGTGCTTTGCCCATGTTCAGGGCCATCGATTGTTGAGGAAGAAGGCGCAGTGGCAGGGCGGTGGCATGCCCTTCTCCGTCACATCGTCGTCTCCATCACATTGTCCTTGCTTGCGCTGCTCGCCTTGCTGCTACCTGCTGGTGTGTACTGGCTGTGTGCCGTGCTCGATGCCGCTGCTGTGTGCCCTGCTCGATGCCCAGCATGTGTTCGACGAAATACCTTAAAGGGGTAACCTTACCTATTCAGAGAAGAGGTGACTGTATCAAAATAAACTAGACAACCAAACACACCCTGAGACTAGACAGACTTAGATAGTATAGACAACCAAACAACCAGGGATTGGCTTGGTAGAAGCAGGCTAACACTACAAAAATTCTGTTGATCCATGACGGATTGCTTTCGTCACAATAGCCCCGAAATCCGTCATAGATCGCCATCCATGACGAATTTTTTTTGTCATGTATCGAGTGTCACAGATTGACTGCGAGCCATCTATGATGGATTTTGACCGTCACGGATCCCCTGGAAGTCCACTTAGCCCACTCTGGGCTGGGCTGAGCTCGGTTATCTATGATGAAATTTACCGTCACAGATAGCTTCCACGTAGGATTTTTTTCTGTCACATATTTGAGTTGCCATGTGTACGTTGACGTGTATGCTGACGTGTCATCGGTGCCACGTAGGATTTAGCCCAGGTGTTTTGTGGCCCATTTTGGGTTTCCCAAGAGCTTTTGGCCCATTTAGCGACCATCTGTTTTTTTTGGGCCAATATGATTTTTGGGCTTTTTTTCCAGCCTTTTAATGGTCATGCAGCCTAGCTCAATTTAGGTTGCTACTAGATTTTAGCCCAACTACAAATGGCTAATAGCAAAATAAAAAAATCATCCTTAATTTCAACCTAATTAATCACCAATCATCATTAACTAACACATGTTTGCATCATCACTAATTAACACATGTTCTTATCATCATTACTTAACACATGTTCTCATCAGACAAATATTCCAGAACAGCAAATAAGTACTGTAAGGGACCGTGACACCTAAGAGGGGGGGGGTGAATTAGGCAACTTAAAACTCTAACTCTTGACTATGACCTCTTTTTCTAACCTTAGCAAAACCTATGCAAAAAGATAAATTATCTAAATATGCAACTACGGGTTTGCTAGTGTGTTGCTATCTCTACCGCAAAAGGAGTTATGCAAACAATGTAAATACAGAAGTTAAAGAGTAAGGTAGAGATATGCAAACTCCTATCGACGACTCCGGTATTTTTACCGAGGTATCGAGAAACGCGCAAGCTTCCCCCTAGTCCTCATTGGAGCCCCTCGCAAGGGCCAAGCTCCCGGTCGGGTAACTCCGTGGATAGCTCCAGGCCTTCCCCACGCACAAGCGGGTCTCTGGTTAAGCCACTCGTGGCAAAGCCTCTCTCGGACCGCTCCCCGCCGTCTTCACTATTAAGCTTCCGACCAAAACGCCGCGGGCCTTGTTCCCTCCGGTACACGGTGGCGGCCACACCACAAACACGGTTGGTGCGATCTCACAAGACTACAAGCTCCTCCGATGTACAACAATGGTGCGTGCAAGCACCGAGTGGTAAGAGGTATGCAAACCTCACTAAACACTAGGCCTAAACCTAGAGCAAGCGCATAAGCGGTGGTCTAATCAATCTAAGCACTTCACAAAGCACCTACGCTAATCACCTAATAAATCACTAAGCACTATGCAAGTGAAGATCACTAAAATGGTGTATCAACACCCTTGGTATATTTCCTCAACTCTCCATATCTCAAATGGCTGGTTGGGGGGTCTATTTATAAGCCCCATGAAGAAAGTAGCTGTTGGGGGCGAAACCTAGTTTTCTGTTATTGATCGGACGCTGCTGTTGTCCTGA